TCTTCACGGCGATGTATAGGAAGAAGTATACATGGACTTTCCTCCAAGCTTTGTTAATTCCTCTAAAAGAGGTAAGGTATGCAGATTGAGGAAATCCTTGTATGGACTCAAGCAGTCACCTAGAGCTTGATTTGGCAAGTTTACTCAGGCTATAAAGAAATATATGGATACCACCAGAGCCAATCGGATCAAACTCTCTTTCTCAAACATTCACTTGGAGGTAAGATTACTGCCTTAATCGTGTACGTGTATGATATTGTGGTGACTGGTAGTGATGGTGAGGAGATGGGTAAGCTGAAAGCATATCTGGCAAAAGAATTTGAGATCAAAGACCTTGGGTCTCTACAATATTTTTTTGGGTAGTTGCTAGGTCAAAGAAGGGGATCTTTGTTTCCCAACGAAAATATGTCTTAGACTAATTGGCTGAGACTGGAATGTTGGCTTGCAAACCTGTTGATACTCCAATTGAACAAAATCACAGGTTTGGTGAATGCACAAATGATACACCTATAGACAAAGAGAGATACCAAAGGTTGGTTGGGAAGCTAATATATTTGGCACATACTCGCCTTAACATAGCCTATGCGGTGAGTGTAGTAAGTCAGGTCATGCATGCTCCTTACGAAACACACATGTTGGCTGTGTATTTAAAATCAGCTCCTGGGAAAGGTCTTATTCTCCAACCATGGTCATCTCGAAGTGGAAGGATATATAGATGCTGATTGAGTAGGATGTGTAATAGATAGAAGATCAACTTCAAGATAATGCACCTTTGTGGGAGGGAATCTAGTCACCTGGCGTAGTAAGAAACAATCTGTTGTGGCCAGATCCAATGCTGAAGCAGAATTTAGAGCCATGGCTCATGGTCTATGTGAGATGTTGTATCTCAACGCTTTGTTAAAGGAGCTGGGCTTTAATTCTAGGGATCCAATGAAGCTATTATGTGATAACAAAGCTGCCATTAGCTTTGCTCACAATCCAATTCAGTATTATCGTACTAAACATGTTTTTTTTTTTTTTGATAAGTAAAAATATATTAGAAAAACGTTCAAAAGGGGAACGCATCCCTAATACAAGAGAAAAGATCTAAGGACCAATAGAATCCAAGAGATCAAAGAAATCATCAATCGAGGAGCATGTACTTCCTCTAACATAAAAGAATAAAGAACGAAGAATATGAATTTTTAAATTAGCTAAGGACGATTCTTTTCCTTCAAAGGATCTGTTATTTCTCTCACGCCACAAACACCACCAGACACAATGAGGAACAATCTTCCAATAAGCACGAGCTTGTTTCTTAACAGGACAGCTTTTCCAAGCGTTAATCAATTGAGAGGAGTGCTTAGGCATTACCCAAAAAATGCCGAATATGCTGAAAATAAAACTCCAACAACCAAACGCCACAGGACAATGCAAAAGAATGTGATCCACGGATTCACTATCATCTTTGCATAAACAACACCAATTAACAATGATGTTGCCTCTCTTTCTCAAATTGTCCAAAGTCAAAATCTTCCCCAATGTAGCTGTCCAAACGAAGAACGCGATTCGAAGAGGGGCTTTAGAGCACCACACGGACTTCCAAGGAAACTCGAACCAACGAAATTGGATAAATGAATAAACATAGAGCGGACATCATACCGACCATGAGCCAAAGGAATCCACAAAATATCATCACACCCTCTGCCAATATCCTTCTGCCTATACAAAATATCCAAAAAAGCAGAGACTTCCTCTATTTCCCAATCCTGAAAAGACCGCCTAAACCGCACATCCCACGTAACTCCATTGTTATCAAGATGATAACAATCAATCACGAAAACATGCTTATTAGTTGCAATGCTATAAAGCCTAGGAAATGAGTGTGAAAGCAACTGGTCGCCACACCAAAGATCCTCCCAAAAACGAACATGCCTGACATTACGAACATTGAATCTAATAAATCGTACTAAACATGTTGAAGTGGATAAACACTTTATCAAAGAGAAGTTGATAGGTGGATTAATTTGCACTCCGTTTGTGAAGACAAAACATCAGCTTTCATATTTTTTGATAAAGGGAGGGTCAAGTACGACTTTCAATTTGGCACTTGACAAGCTGGGCATTTGAGACATCTATGCTCCAGCTTGAGGGGGAGTGTTGGAAGATATATATTATTTCCCTTGGTTTTAGGGATTTGATTGATTTCTGACTATTGTAAATTAGAACAAGATTGTAGGATAGATTGATTGCAGTAAAATAAGATAGATTGATTGCTTTAAATTAGGAACAGATTTGTAGAAATATTTTTTATTCTTTTCCTTGTATAGCTTTCCCACTTTCCTATATATACTTGTACAAGATGTTAATGTATGAAGCAGAATATTTTACATACAGAATTTCTATAGAAATAAGGCTCATAGTTTTCATTCCTGACATGATGGAGATAGAATTGTTTGCCTTAAATAACAGCACTTCTTAGGTTGTGGTATCATTACCATCAAGATGCCGCCTAAGGAACTCTATACAAGAGGCATAAGGAAGGAGGCTGCAAACATTCTCTACCATCTATTTGGTTAAGAGTAGAAATATAAAAAAGAAGAAAGAAAAGAAAAATATGTAAAAGGTTTGAGTGAGATTTATCACTCATTCACAACTCTACTATTTATAGATAAAAAGAGAGCACATTCTCATATAACAAGAAAGGAAACTATATCAAATCACAGTATATTCTATGGCATATTCTATAGCATAATCAAATCTCTACTAATATGGTAAGTCATTCCATAAATCGTGGCTATCATATCTGTTAACACTCCCCCTCAAGTTGGTGCGTGGATATCTTAAACGCCCAACTTGGACAATACATTCTCAAATACAATCTTATTGATGCCCTTTGTAAGAATGTTTGCAAGGTGCTGAGAGCTTGTGACAAATAGAGTGCAAATCTGACTAGCGATGATTTTCTCTCAAATGAAGTGTCGATCAACAAATAAAAAAATGTCTTCTCAGAGCATAAACAATTAACAATGTCCCCTTAGACCATAAACAACCAATCATGTCTCCTCAGACCGTAAACAACCAACAATGTCTCCTCAAACCATTTCCCTTCATACACATGTTTAAAACATGTAGATAGAAGAATCAACAATGTCTCCTCAGACCATTCCCCTTCATATATATGTTTAAGCAATGTAGATGAAAGAATCAACAATGTCTCCTCAGACAATAAAAAGAAATAACTACGTCTCCTCAGACCATTTCTAAATAGGTGGTGCCAAACTCGCAACGCCCTCATTGAAGTCGAACCACCCTGCCTACCCGACATTTCCCGGATGGGCGATCTCACCTTAGACCATTCCCGAATGGGTGGTCCCGAACTCGCAATGCCCTCATTTTAGTCGGACCACCCTGGCTCGGATACCAAGTAGAAATATAAAAAAGAAGAAAGAAAAGATAAATATATAAAAGGTTTGAATGAGCTTTATCACTCATTCACAACTCTACTATTCATAGATAAAAAGAGAGCACATACTCATATTACAAGAAAGGAAACTAAATCAAATCTAAATCAAATCACAGCATATTCTATGGCATTATCAAATCTCTACTAATATGGTAAGCCATTCCATAAATCGTGGCTATCATATCTGCTAACAGTTAGAAAGTTGGAAAAGAAAGGAAAGCAAAAGGAGGAAAGTGTGCATTGTGTATTAAGAAGGGAAACGAAATGAGGAGAAAAAGAGAGTGGTTCTTAACCCCTTAATTATTCATCACTCTATCCTTCTAAGAGTGGTTTCCTCTTTCTTTCATATATGCAAAGAGAGAGGCCATAAAGAGCATTAGAGTAATTTTAACACAAAAAGTTATCATTAAGGAAAAAAACACCAAAAGTTATTATTTTATTCTAATGCAATATCCAAGTGCAAACTAAATGTTGGTTTATTTCCCCCTCCTCTTTGGGCTAAAAATATGTATGTTGTCGATGCCTTATTCTGACATTATCCACCTTCATTACTATATTCATCACTAGTTTTGTTGTGTAAATTTCAAGTACAGTCCACAAGGTACTTCTTCTGATTACTCTAGTGCTCTTTCAGGGTCATCATGGGCCACAATATCTTCCTATCAAGAAGTGCTCATTGAAAATTCTTGTACAAAGAGGAGAATGGAAGAGTAGACAATCATATTCAGTTGTTCAGAATATACGAAAGAATACAAATTTACAAGAATAAAATAAAATATGCCCTAAAGGAGGGATGGCTAACTAAAAGAGGGAAAAGAAACTCCCACAAAAATAAAAACAATTCTCTAAAATCACCTGGCACGTGTTTGTCTTCTGGCTAGCTTAAAAATTACAATTTAAACTAGAAGTCACTCACTTTTGGTTGGCTGCCAGCTGTACACAATGATAAACTGTAAGATTGGTCTATTATGGGCATACTACTCTGGCAAATGGCATGCCATGTGTGTGCCTATGTGGTAGCAAAATAATAGGAGTGACTGGTCTGACTATGTGAAATGTTTTTTCTCTATTAGGTGCGAGGAACTGTGAGTAGCAAGATCCACTATTAAAAATGTAGGCATTTTGTTTTCCCTAATGAGTGAAGAAAGATGGTGTCATTAGAACAGGGAGATGTAAACCATAAATACTTACTCTGGTCACTTATCAAAAAAATAAATACTTACTCTGGTCTAATGCTGTCTTGCATCCTACTGCACCCGTGTGCTTAAATTGTCACTACTAGGTGCAAAACCACTTCGATGATGAAGTAGAGAAAATTATCGGACTTGAGCTAACAAGTGGAATATTTGTATGTGTTTGTTAAAAAGGTAAGCTGGCACACCTTTCTTTCTTTTAGCAAAGAAAGCCCAATGCCAGTCTTAATTACTAGGGGAGAAAAAGAAAAGAAAAAAAGAAGACATAAGCAACGATATTGAAAGAGAACTAATGAAAGAAATGAGAGTGAAAGATAAGGCAGACATTTATCTTTGAAGCTTAAGCAGAAAGTATATCATACCTATGTTCATTGCAGGTGGAAGTGCGAATTGAATCAAGAGAATGAACTGATACAATGGGTTTGAGTGCACCAAACCAATATGAAGTGCTCCCTTCACAACTAGAATTCCTATCAGAGGTAGGGCAATGTAGCGAGCAATTATGATGCCAACAATGATGAGCTTCGAAATTCCTGGTCCCTTTAAACCTGAAAGGTCCAGGAACAATTGCAAGCTTCTTTCAGCTAATGCAAAAGAAGTACCAAACTGAACCAAATTTTTTCGAAGTAAACATGAAAAGAACCAACATCAAGATCAATTATTACCCTTAAGAAGGTTCCCTCCCATTATCAGCGTGAGAGCTGGGATGGCTCCATCCCTGCAGTCACATAGAAATAAGAAGCGTAGACTTTAGCAGGTAGATTAACCCTGCAGTTTAAAGAACAAAAATGGAAAAAAAGTACAAGTTTGAACAAAAGTAATCTGATAATGAAGTTTCAAAATGATTTGGACACAATAATCAAGCAGTTGAAAAATCAAATTAAATGAGCAATATGGCACTGAATTGGATCTGACTGTGCATTTTTATAGTCAAAGTATCCTGACCATGTATCCAACTTGCATAAAGTTGGAGCTGGCAATGAATGGGGCTCAGCCCAGGTCTACAATTACCCAAATCAAACCCAAACCATTTATAATTTAATTTGTGAAATGCAAACTATAATCCGAACCATTTGTTTCCAAGGCTAATCCACATGCCTACATCCTGTGGCAAACAAATTCCAGGATTACCTCCGATGAAAACTGACAGCTCTCACTCGCTACATATATAAACTGGGAGTGAAAAGCACACTACTGCAAGCATATTTGAACTAATTAAATGATACAAAATATCAATAGATAGTCTGCAGAAGCTGTAAAGCACAAACAGGACATTAACATTATCCACCCGTCGCTTAGTTTTGAGCTCAGCTGTAAACAGCGAGCCTTATTATACCAGACAAAATGCTTTTTTTTTATTTATTTGGAAAAGGTTAGAGATGTAAACAGAAAGATGTATACAAAGTTACAAACTCCACTTCTTCTGCTATACCCTTAGGTAAAATATGGTTTCTCAACCAATCCCACTTGTCTGGGGTAGTTGTTAGGAAAAAGTGACGTGTTGGCATATTCTAGGAACAGAAGCAATGGACACTTTAAATGGTTGGGCTACTTCTGTGGAAGATTGTCATTGACGTTAAAGAAGTTATTGTAAATGGCTAGAAGACCGCATTGACCTCTTGCTTCAAGCTCATTCAATCACATTGTTAGCAATCCAGTCTATCATGAGAGGACTAGACACATTGAAGTAGACTGCCATTTTATTCGATCTAAAGTTGACTTGAATGAGATTGTTACACCTGTTGTTCCTTCTGGTAGACAGCTGGCAGACATCTTCATTAAGGCGCTTCCCAAGAACTCTATTGATTCCATATGTAGCAAGCTGGGAGTTATTGACATTTACTCTCCAGCTTGAGGGGGAGTGTTGTTGTACAGTATTGTATGAGTTGTCACACGTGTACAGTTAGTATTGTATGAGTTGTCACCTACCCCTCATTACCATATATAAAATTACCATGTATAGGGTTTACTTGTTCTCCACTCACCTACTCCCGTAGCTTCTCCTATATAAACACCATTGTATTATGGTATTACTCACTCAAAAGATATATGTTTTCATATATTCTCTTTCTCTCTCTCTCTTTCAACAGATTATGATTCGCACGAACATGATAAATTAATTGGTCAAAATTAGTTAAAACTGCCAGCAACAATTTATCAAACTTTATATATGACCTATTCAAATACTCCCCCACCCTCTCTTTTTGAATGTCCTGTTTAGCTCCTACCTATTATATCATGGATATTATTTTCCACAGGTTCACATTTCCAGGTCAGAAATTTCCAATTCTGCACAGAACCACCAAATCATCTTCACACCTTTTATACATGAAATGGCCCCAAATTTCTAATGTACCTCAATGAAAGCAACTCAGGTTGCCACCCTTTCAACAATTGAAGTAACGTATTATCCTGAATACAAATAGCTTCACCATCTATAACTTGCCCAAATTAGGTAAATAGCAACCCATTGAAGGATTATTAATCCTGAGCATGAGGGGAAGGAACATCTAGTCCAAAATTAAGTGATCAAAAAAATTGTGTCAACCTAAAATAGTTTATGTTTTATCTTACATTCTGGTGCACCAAATCAGTGAGTTCAGTGGCTTTGTGGGACCCTAAAATGAATATTTTTATAGGGCTTCCCCATGATTAAAAAGTCTGTCATCAGTAAAATGTACTTTCCAGTGGTATAACCTCTGCTTCCTTAAAGGGGAGGTGAAGGGTTTGAGCCCATAGTGGGCCTTTGTGGATGTGTGTGTGTGAGAGTATTTACCTAATAAAATAAAAAATAAAAAAAATTAGAGCTTAATGAATTTAAAACATGGTTACCAAATTCAAAGGCGAATTTATCTAAATTGAGTGTTGGAATAGGTCTTATACCCCAGCAAAGAGACAGAGTCTTGGATCACACGAAGAGGAGCTGCATCACCAATCATTGAGCTTCGGATTTGAGGTACAAGTCCAATTATGAACCCAACAATCTGTACAATAAAAGAGTAACTAGTTCAGTCATCACCCCCAGAGTGAAGTCAACACCCCTTTCCAACCTTCTTCCCCCCACACCCCCACACAAAAGGGGAAGAAATTAAATAAATAAATACAAACAAGAAAGCCAGCATCTGCAGCCACATTGACATGTAAGGTGGTGACCCCATGCCTGTTGTTGGGATTTGTATGCCCTAGCATTGCAAATTATTACTTGAATTGTATGGACATTATTCCTTATCTGAAATAGCATTTATGTACTATACAATTGGTGAATGTTAATGTGTTATGTTTCAATTCATGATGGAATTGAATATGTCCACTTGCTTGCAAGAGATATTTATATGTATTTGATAGTGATTAATACAAGAATATAAATAGCGATCATAAATAGTTCATAGTCGGTAACTAAGGATGGACTCTTAATTAAGACAGACGTCAACCAAATCCGCGGTAGGTTGAGATATATTGCGAGAGCTGTCGTATGCAATTGCTCCCTATCATCGTCATGGCATTTGACTCTCAAGCATGAGAGAAGTATAAACTCTTTTATTAATTAATAATTACTTTAATTTGTTGCGAAACCTCCGGAATCCCATGACTGACACTTTGAGTAGTTATGTAATAAATAGTTAGAGGCTTATATTCTCAATATTTGCATTGTTGCTAATTGTATTTATTTTGTATTGATTATAGTTCATTATAAAGTAAATTCGAAGGTCTTCGTGTGTTTGAGGCAAAATGTTTTTTATGTATTTACTTAATAAATTATTATTGTTGTCAAACAACTTTTTATTGTGATCAAACTGGGAAATAATTAAGGAACCAAAATAAATATATTAATTGTGCAGTCAGATTGATGGCTACAATTATTCGATGGCTATTTATGTATAGAGAGGTCAAAGTGCAACATTGACTTAGTGGTTATTTACTATTTGATTAGAGGTCAATTAATTTCTTTTAGTGGAGTAGAAATTAATTTATGAATTAATTGAATTGGGTCCATAGTATTATGGACCAGGTCAATTATTAATTCATTGGAGCCAAGAAGATAGTAAGCCCAAAGGATTCTCACCTATAGCCCAATTTAATTGGAGATAGCACTTTAATTGTAGAGATTGAGAATTACATTTGACACACCATGTGACTATATATACATGTAACCATGTATTGATTAGTAAGCTTTTGGGCATCATTAGTGTACGAAGATAAAATATCTCTCTCTAGAATTTTAGGGTTTCTGCTCACATCTAATGGAGGCTCCCACAAGCTATGCATCCAAGGTCTTCATAGAGGCATATAGGTGAATCCTAGAGGCATGACTACCATGATGATGGTGGTGACCTAATGAGGAAGGAGGAGCTAAAGTGATGTTCATAAAGGAGAACATTCCCTTTGTGGATGGTTTTGAAGCTTACTCAATATTCTAAGTAAGTTTACTAATTCTAATGAATGTATCATCATCTTCTTCATGCATTAAAAGTAGCTCGTAGAGATGGGTCGAGATCATTTGATGAAAAGCCCTCTTCTAATTTTTGAAAATATCCATTTCCCAACACCTATATGAACTACTCAACTCATATTAGGTAATCTTATCACAGTCACAAATGAGTGAACTTTTACATGAAAGTTTGACTATGAGTTTAGATGTCCCTAGACCATTATTTTTTCTGTATTTTTTTTTTTTTTTTTTTTTTTTTTTTTTTTTTTTTTCAATTATGAAATTAAAAAGCATATTAATCCCTTGCATTTACTTGTCTATCAACTGATTTTAGTTTCCTTTCTTGTAATATGAGCATGTGCTCTTTTATCTATAAATACTAGAGCTGTAAATGAGTGATTCATCTCATTCAAGCCTTTACACAATTCTCTCCTTCTTTTTATATTTCTACTTTTACCTCTTCCTATGTTGAAGCACGCGCTTCCCCAGTTTGCTTCTGTTGAATCTTTTGAGTTAAATTGTGAAACATGCGTTCTTGCCAAACAATGTCGCGTTTCTTATCTTACTAGCATTAATAAAAGTACAGCTCCTTTATAGCTTGTTCATTCATACTTGTTTTTCGTTACTTTGTTGCGTTTGTTGATGACTTTAGTCGATATACTTGGCTTTATCTTATGAAAACCAAAGATGAAGTTCATTCCATTTTTAAAACCTTTCATAGGATGGTAAGTACTCAGTTTGGATATCCCCTCAAAATCCTTCGACCTGATAATGGAGGAGAGTTTATTTATGGTGGTCTTTCCTCCTTTTTTGCTGATAACGGGATTGTCCATCAAACCTCCTGTGTCGATACACCACAACAAAACGGTGCAGCTGAAAGAAAACACCGTCATATTACGGAGGTTAGCCATTCTCTTCTAATTGGGATGGGAGTGACTAAAAGTTATTGGGCTGATGCAACCTTAATAGCTACATACCTTATCAATCGCATATCTTCTAAGGTTCTTGGTTATCAATCCCCCTTCTCTGTCTTACACCATTACATTGCCTTGTTTACTATCCCTCCGAAAGTGTTTCGTTGTGTTTGTTATGATCACATTCATCATCGCAAAGACAAAATGGACCCTAAGGCAATTTGATGTGTCTTTCTTGGATACTCCGCCACTCAAAAAGGGTATCGGTGTTGTAACCCTACCACTCGTCATCCCTTTGTCTCCATGGATGTTACATTCTTTGAGTCTGTTCCCTTTTTTTCCCCACTACTCGGGATTCTGTACAGGGGGAGACTACTATACAGGTAGAGAATCTGTCGTCCATTCAGAGGGAATGCCCCCTTCCTTTGCCTGCTCCCATTCAAGGGGAGGTTCTTACTGAGATGCCTACGTCTAGTCCTCCTAACACTAATAATTTGCAGCATGGAAAGCAGCCAATTGTCTACACTAAGAGGGCAAAACAAGTCATTGACTTACCCCAGGACCAAAAAGTCTCCCTCGATCCACGTAATTCCTTAGTTAACATTAATACTCCAGAATCTTTTCCCAATAGCATTCATGTCGATCTTGATGTCCCTATTACCTATCGTAAGGGTGTTCGTAGTTGTACAAAACATCTCATATCTCAATTTGTATCCTATGATGCCTTATTTCCAACGTGCTTTCACTTCATGTATCTCCTCTGTATCTGTTTCAAATGCTCTCAGTCAAACTCCATGGAAGGAAGCCATGCTTGAAGAGATGAAGGCCATTGAGAAAAATGGGTCTACACAATAAAGTATCTTGCAGACGGAACAATTGAGAGATATAAAGCCCGGTAAGTTGCAAAGGGCTTCACTCAGACCTATGGGATTGATTAGCTGAAAACATTTGCTCCAGCTGCCAAGCTGAACTCTATACGTATCCTTCTTTCTTTGGAAACTAATTTGAATTGGCCTTTACATCAGTTGGATGTAAAGAATGCTTTCCTTCATGGTGACTTAAAGGAAGGGGTGTATATGACTATGCCACCAGGGTTTAAGCTTGCCAATGGTTAGAATTTAGTGTGCAAGCTAAATAAAGCCTTATATGGGTTAAACCAGTCGCCACGAGCTTGGTTTGAGAGGTTCAGCACTGCTGTGAAACTAGTAGGGTACACACAGAGTCAGGCAGATAATACTATCTTCATCAAAAAGCACCTGGGCTGCACCACTGCCCTTATTGTATATGTTGATGATATTGTTATCACTACAATTGATTCAGAAGAGATTCACCGATGTTAAAGATCTCGGATTATTGAGATACTTTCTTGGCATCGAGGTGTGCAGATTGAAGAAAGGGATATTCATTTCTCAACAGAAGTATGTGTTAGATTTGTTGGCTAAAATAGGCAGGCTTGGAACTAAACCTATTGATATTCCCATTGAGTAGAACCATAGGCTTAGTGATGTAGATGGAGACCATTAGATGATGCGGGAAGATTTCAGCGATTCGTTGGGAAACTAATTTACCTATCTCTCACACGCCCAGATGTTGCATATGTTGTTAATGTGGTTAGTCAATTTATGCATGCTCCACGTACACCTCACCTTTGAGGTAGCTCATCATGTTCTTCGCTACCTCAAGGGTTCACCTGGTAAGGGGATATTATTTGGCCGTCATGGCCACTTGCGTGTTGAAGCCTTTACTGATGTTGAATGGGCAAGGTCTGTGACATATCGACGATCTACTTCAAGATATTGCACATTTGTTGGAGGTAATCTTGTTTCATGGTGAAGCAAGAAGCAGTGATCTTGCAGAGGGTGAGTTCAAATCCATGGCACATGGAGTTTGTGAGTTGTTATGGCTACGAACAATGTTGGGTGAGTTGGGTTATCCTATTCGCGAATCAATGAAGTTGTATTGTGACAACAAGGCTGCTATTAGCATTGCCCACAATCCAGTTCAACATGACTAAACAAAGCACATTGAAGTCGATCTACAGTTCATCAAAGAAAAGCTTCGTTGTGGGCTGATTTGTACTCCAAACGTCAACACATATAATCAGGTTGCTAATGTTTTGACTAAGGGTGTGAGCAAGACTTGCTTGCAAAATATATTAGTCAAGCTGGGTATGATAGATATCTTTGCACCAGCTTAAGGGGGAGTGTTGCTAAGGGCTTATTTGTTATTACTTATATAATATTGGGGCTTATGTGTAATTTCTGAAACTTGTTAGTATAAATAGAATGTGGTGGAAGGATGAAAGTATTCTTTCATTCTTTCTCTCTTTTCCCAACTCTCTCTCTTTTTCTCTCATCATATTTCTCCTCTTTTTCTTCTTCTTATACTTTACTCTTGATTTGATTCTACTCCCTCTGTCCAAAGTAAGTGTCATTCTTTCCTCTTTTGTTTGTCCCAAAATAAGTGTCCTCTTTCCTTTTTCAAACAATATATTTTACATCTTTCCATATATGTCCTTTACGTTCAAAATTTTAAACTTGAATATTCAAAACTTAAAAGGGCAAGTTAGTAATTTTTCAGGGAGACAATGCATGTCCCACATGTCCCCTTAAAAATTATTCCTCCCCATAAGCGACACTTA